TTACACTAATTACTGGTCTAGAGATGAGGATATGGCCATTTATGCTTTGTACCTTACTATAGCTCCTAACACTTCTTTCAAGGGGAAATGGAAAGTGGTGACATTCCATTTGGATGCACTCTGTATTCATTTTTTACAGCTATAAACAACCCACCCAGTGAACAGCCAGAGAATTAAGCCCCAGGCATTATTCCAAACAGGATATCACAAGTGACTTTAAAGTGCATAATTTAGACAAAGGCCTTACTCTAGTCACAGTTGCCTTAAAAAGAAGATGGACACATGAAAAGCAGATGCCTCTGAAAACTGAGGCCTCCAAAAATTTATCCCCATAAAAGATTGATTTAGACAGATCATCTGAATCACAGTAGAAGTGAGATATGCCAAAGAAGTAGTTATATCCAGGAAAATTTAAAACATTACCTTCCACTAGTCTTCTGGCAGAGGCCAGCATCAAGGCCATTCCTATGTCTGCTGTTGGGTCCGCCACGGCGTGTGGGGTGTTGGTCACTTTTACGCCAAAGCTAGAGATCATTTTCAAGTCTAAGTGATCGACTCCAACCCCAGAATTTCCAATTACCTTTAAATTAGGCAGGCTTTCTAGAAGCTCCCGGTCAATAGTTGGCCTGCACTCAAACACAAAAACAGACTGGATTTTTTTGCTCATTTCTTCTTTGTTTTCAAGAAATTCCTTCATAGTGATAAGGTGAAAGTGTTTCCTCAAAAGCGTTGCAAGATTTTCTAGCACACCTTGAGTTCCTCCTATATCCAGAATCAAAACGCCTGGCAACTCTTCTTTTGCCATGACCTGCAACAGGAAAATAGAAGAGATACTCCTTTGTTCAGGAAAACACCCTTAAAGGAACAATGAGGTAGCAATCATTTAAATTCACATCTGTAAAATGGGAACTGATGGAACTCAATACTGTTTTTAATCCACAGTCACTTGGTACTAATGTGGTGCATTAGACAATTTCCCAGTACTTTTCCCAAATGCTGATTTAGACTATAACACCAAGGAATACTCACACTCTTAGATCAAAATCCAGTCCTACAAAATGTTATTTGCAAATAGTTTCATTTTAGTCCTGAATCAATAATGATTTCATATAGATCTGGTAGCTTTTCAACCTTATTTACCAAGGCACTTCTATAAGCAGTGGTATGAAACAGAGGCTGCTCACAGTTTCTTGCCTGTTGGTTATGGTTGGTGAAGCTGTAGGTAGCGTAGGGTGGTACTGAGCCCCAGATGGGTCTGACAAACATCTGTCAGGAATGGTTCAGGTCTAACAAATCTGCATGATGAAGGGCCATACTTAGACAGCTGCTAAACTGCTTGCCTTCGGTGTTTTAAACATCCAGATCTGCACCTGAACTTCTGCAAAATTTAGCACACCCATGCCTATATGCTGAACCGGTGGGGGAGAGCACTAGAGGTGATAATGTAATTCCCACCAACAATACAGTCCTTCATACTAGAACTTTCTCCTGCCCAGACATTTCTGACCCCAGTCTTCTCTACCACACTCCTGCAAATGTACTGTATTCTGAAATAAGATGATAGCAGCTCCACAGACAACCAAACGTCTAATTAGAGGCAACCCTTACTGATAAAAATGGTAGTTGAAGATTTGCTGCATACCTTAACAATAGCTGTGCCTAATTTCCTACAGTTCTGCTTGATATGCTCCACTGATGTTCAGTCTCCATCCCATACTATGTCCTATGCTTGGATGCAGGAAACCTGATGTTGTGCTAACTGAATCAGAACAATTTTCCCCAGCAGTATGCTGATTTATTCCGGGCACACAGTGCTGGACAGAGATGTCCTGCTGCTTCAGTCCTCTCACAAAAACCTTCTGCAACCAACTAGAATTCAAACCTGTGACAAAAAGTTGTCAATGTAGATTGGAAGTTTCTATCAACCATATTTACCCTTGTCCTGAGCAAACTCAGACTTATCCCAACCACATCTATTAAATGCTTACCATCTCAACACCAGTAATTCTGCTTTATCCTAGCCTTGACCTGCATTTCTTCCTCAGTTCCAGTCTGCTGCTGTACATCGGCTTTAACATGTCTCCATGTTAGGACAGGTCTGCAATTCACCATAAAAAGTGTCTCTGATAATACTACCTGGTTCTGAACAGCAGCAAACAAGGCAATGAGAGGAACAGTGCAACCAAATTGCAAAGGAAAACCACGCTCTTAAATATATCTCATCTATTTTTTGCAAACTTAGGTTGTTAGCCCCATGCGGTTGTGAAAATTCATATTTTCCCAGATGTAGTCTATATTTCTGAGAGTATCACACAACACGACCTTAGAAGGATAAACTAGATTCATCCTACAGAATGAATGACACATAGAATAAAAGACAAGAGTTGATGTCATATTGTGACAGCATTGTCCGGCTTTTTGATCAAAACATGATGCTCCCGCAGTAATTTACTCAGACCAGATGGCAATTAAGCTCTGTGCTGTTAAGTGGTGGAAAACTGGGCACCAGATATCATCAACTGACTGGCAGATGCCAGTAAGACAGCACTGGATTACACCATTTGCTTTCATCACCACTTCCTCCTCCATTCAGGGCAGAGTCAGAACTGCATTCATTTTAGAAGCGCTTCCTCCACTTCACAAGCAGAAAGTTGATCCACAAGGAAGCCACTAGCTTTAAACAAACAGCTGGTGCACTAGAAACAGGCTGGCTGCATGTAATGAATCTTTTCATTACTGTGGGCATGCTGAGTTCGCCACCATTTCATCTGTGTTTGATGTGCACGTGAACCATTAATAGGCTGCAGCAATGCTTCAAGAACTGATGTTCTGCTAGTACTGGGTACAATCTTAAAAAATGATACTGATAGCAGTAAACTAAAAACACTCAAAGGAACCTTGCAGAAGAAAGGCGGCTCTCCAGATACCAACCTTGGTCTCAGCACTTATTGTTCGTCTTCCAGCACTACATGGGTATGTCCTGTACCTCTGTTTGTAAATCAGACTTCTGTGACAGCGATGTCCATGAGAAGCAACAAGTTGATGAATAAATTTGTAAGCCAGATTTGACTGGCCAGACATCAATGGAATCGGTTTCAACAGACTGAATGCTTTGCTCATGAACATAATTATTCAGTTATCAGATGTCTTGTCCAGTTTGTAAAATATAACACCTGTCAAGGATATGACAATTTTGGTTTTGGACTAGTATCATTTGCAGTACCACTAACACTGTCTCTCCTCATATTTTGTATTTACTTAAGATTATATGCTTCTATGTATGTAAACAATCTTAATCATATGTAACACAGTGATATAATGTAAATGAACTAAGTTCTAATCCTGGCATTGCAGAGAAAACTTTGAAAATATTACTTAGTTTGAGGCAACTGGGCAAATAAAAAGTACTGCATTTAAGAATTCATTTCAGTGCTAACTGAAGTTGGCCTTACTCCATCTGTGGAGCTTGAGTCACTTCTTACTTGCAGATTTCTTGGCTGGCACTGCTGTATGACTTTGGACTTTGCCAAATCACCGCAAAACAAACCTACATAATTTTTCCTAGCTCTGTTTTCAATTAAAGTTAACAGCACGCGTTATCCAGGAATAATTCCTCCCGCTAACTTCTCTAAAGAAGGTGACCAATTACCTGAACAACAACCAAAGCACTAACCAGGGAGGGTTTCTTTCTGACGACGTGCCTTTCACAGCTCGATCCTGCGGCAGCCGGAAAAGCGGAGAGCTCACAGCCTCTGCTCCCGGCCTCGCTCGCTTAACCCTGCCCTGCCCGGCCACCGCCGATCCGGGGGCTGGCGGCTTCCAAGGAAGTTCCGGCACGGGGAGCACCGCCCGGCGGTGCCTCTGCTTGTCTGCAATCAGACCAGGCTGCCTTTCGTCTCCTCTCCCGCCCCCGGCGCTGGACTTCCTAGAAACGAGATAAAGCAAAAGGAGGAGTTTGATCGCTTTTCGAGAGCTCTGCAACTCTGGGGCAAAGTTATTTGGTACAAATTCACATTGTTCCCCGCAGCCCAAGCTCAAGCTTGTATTGATTTTGTGTAGTGGAAACCGTGGTTTTCACCCTGCCTGCTGCAAGCTAAGCTTTTAAAGGAGTGTGCAGTGTAGAACAATATTTAACGCCTCTCAGGAAGCAAACAGATTGGCCTGGGATGCCCTATCCCAATGGCCAGCTCGATTCTGAAAGCTAATGCTGAAATGAGCTGGTTTCACAGCTGATCACTTCCACTAGAACACTTTATCCACTGTGCTCACATACTGGCATACTGATTGCAAGACAGATGGGAGAGCAATAAAGGTCCCCAAGTGTGAATCTGCCAGGGGCTGGGCAGTGAGCTGCCACAGCTGGGGCCAGTTCTGGGTGTAGTGTGCGTGCATCAGAGGTGTGTGCATGAAAATTTTCATTGCTGTGGGTTAACACACTGACAGAAGTCTTCCATAACCAGGAGATGCATCCAGCTGCTCTCTCTGTTGCAGTCTCATAGAATCATAGAATGGTTTGGGTTGGAAGGAAGGGATCTTAAAGATCATCTAGTCCCAAAGCCCCTGCCATAGGCAGGGACACCTGCCACTAGACCAGGTTGCTCAGAGCCCCATCTAACTTGACCTTGAACACTTCCAGGGCTGGGGCATCCACAGCTTCTCTGGGCATATCTCCTCGCTCAAATCCCATGGCGACACGGGGCGTTTATTAACATCTTAGAGCGGCCAGCAGCAGAGACTCGGCTGTTTGGGCTCTGATGATCCCCATTCCATCCTCCCCGTGACACCCAGCAGCACCGCTCGGGCCAGCCGCGCCGATCCCCACGGCACGGCTCCACATCGCACCGGCGAGGGGCGACGCCGGAGGCCCTGCCCAGCAGACAGGGTGGCCACCCGCGGAACGCGCCGGGATCCTCGGCCAGCTGGAAAAGGGGGAAGCCCCGCCCTCCGTCGGCGCGGAAGCACGCGTGTGCCTGCGCCGTGCCCATTCCCTCATTTCCGCTTCCCGTCCCGTCCCGACCCGCCGCGGCGCTTCCCGCCACCCGTCTCTCCGAGGAAAGGACGCCCGTGGGGTGCGCTGGGGACGGGGCGCGGCGGGATGGATGGATGGATGGATGGAGAGATGGATGGGGCGGGGCGGGATGGGGGGACTCGGTGCTACCGCAGGGCCCGGCGAGGTGGCACCTTGGGGGGGGGGGTCCGGCCTGTGGGGCTGTGGGTGCAGCGGGAACCAGGACGGGCTGTCAGCACCCAGGGCATTCCTGTCGTGCCGCAGGCTCGCCGTCCGCCCGCCAGGATGTCGTACATGCTGCCGCACTTGCACAACGGGTGGCAGGTGGACCAGGCCATCCTGTCGGAGGAGGACCGCGTCGTGGTCATCCGCTTCGGGCACGACTGGGACCCGACGTGCATGAAGATGGACGAGGTCCTGTACAGCATCGCCGAGAAGGTAAACCGGAGCGTTCTGCGCCTTCTGCGCTCATTGTTCTCCATGGCTTGCTCGAAGCCCGGGGCAGATTGTATATAACTCGGGTTCTGGAAAGGTGTTCCAGCTTTAGGAGGCAGAGGGAAAGCTGTTTTTTTGCTTTCGTGAGTGTCTCCTAAAGTCACTGACTGCCTTGATGTTTACAGTATTTAATGGGGTGACAAGAGTTCTGAAATCAAGATCGCTGCTTTTTAATAATCCATCACTGAATGAATGTCAGCGTTCAAAGAAGAACAAGTGCTCGATGATAGGGCTGTGGCTCTAGGTAAGGCAGCACTCTCACTTACAATGAAAATGTATAGCAGTGTCGAGTTTCCACTTGAATAACTTGGAAAGTTACTTTCATTTTGGCTCTTAAAAAGTGAGTGAAGTGCTAAACTGTACAGGATAGTATTGATTAATTTGTCAGTGATATTATTCTGATTAATCTGTCAGTGATATTATTTGTGTAGACAGATAGCATTCCACTGAGTTGCATGGAGTGAATTAAATTTTAGGAGCCAAACTCTAAAGCTGTTTTCAGATGGAAACTGAATGCTTGCTGACAGCTGGTTGCTCACTTAAGATATTGAAGAAAAATTAGACTGTTAAAATACACAATCAGCTATAAGTTACCTTTTCATATGTTTGCTAAAGGTTTTGCATAGTGATAGATGTAGAAAATTGATAACTCTATAACTGAACCACAACAAAAAAAGCAGCAAAATTATCTGAGCCATAAATGGTAACTTGGGTAGGAAAAGATGTCAGCTATCATAGAAATCATGGAATGGTTTGGGTTGGAAGGGACCTTAAAGATCTTATTCCAACCTCCCTGCCCTGGGCAGCGGTACCTTTCACTAGACCAGATTGCTCAGGCGTCCATCCAACCTGGCCTTGAACACTTCTAGGCATGGGGCATCCACAGCTTTGCTGCCTTCATATAAAATTCTGGGCATGCTGCATAGTTTAATACGGTGTTCTTTTGGTGGTGTATTCCTTTGTCCTCTAATGTTATTTCTAGAGAAACTGTCTCTTGAAAATACCCACAATGAAAGATCTATACCTCCAGCCAAGTGTTAAGACATAATAGAATACAGTAAGGAGTTGTGACATGTTTTGCTTTAGTTGTTTTGTGTTCAGTGTGGTGGGAGTGTCTTATGCTCAGATACTGTTAGTATGGACTTGTGGCAGGATGCTTGGCAATTTGGCAGACATGCTGGCAGTTAGGGGTGAAAGAAAGCTGGGAAGAAAGAACAATGTAACTTCTTATTTAAAAATCTCCCTCTGCAGAAATGGCAAATTAAAGGGGGAGATCCTTCCTCATCCTCTTGCTTACAAGCCATGTTTGGATCTCTGCTGTTTTAAAGAGTGAGTAAAAGTTCCAATTGTACAGGTGTTTATACTGGAGAATAATACAGAATGTTACCGTGCTGTAATTGCAGTCTACGTTCAAAGACAATGTAGCCATATTTTACATTTGTTACCATGGTGCAATATTCTTTTAGAGTGCAGCATATTTTTGGGTAGCAGTAATATTTATCTGTACTTTATGATAGGAAAACGGAAATCCTTTTGGGGAGGAGGAAACTAGAATGCTGTATAAAAATAAAAGTAGATTATATTCACTGAAATGTACTCCACTTGCAGTGAACTGTTCCCCCCCCCACCCCGTCACATGAAAAAGAAGCAAGGTTTCACTGAATGTCAAAACAAACAGTAATTTTAAGATGTTAGATTTTTTGCTTTGTCAGGGTTTCAACCAAATATATAAGAGTTGAGTTCCACAAGTTTCTTCTTGAACAGCTTTTTTCAAAATATACTTTTTTTTTCTTTGAAGGAAACTCACAGTTATAAAAACCCATCCCCTGAAATACAGGGCTTTGTTCGCTAAATTAATACCCCTTGTATAAGTGATAAACCATGATTTATCTATGACTGAATACTGTAAATCAGATAACTGTTTTATTGGGTCAGTGTGGGTTTAGGGAGGATTGTTAAAATGTTGAGCATTTATTTAACCATAATCAGAAGTGTGAGAAGCTGTGGCTTTTCCTCAGACATTAACTGTGCCTCTGCGTTTCTGCTAAGTTTACATGGAAAGTGAGAGAGGAAAACAATGTGGGTCAGGGAAAGAGGGAGCTATAAGAAAAAGTGTATTGGTATTGTAGGTACTGGTGACTTTGTAATTAAAGTTGAGCAAGTTACTGATGTCTGTAGTTTTCAAAATTATTAGCTGTAAGCGTTGCTCTAGGCGATATAATGTCTTTCTCTTTTCCCCTAGCAATTTATCACCTAAACTTACAGCATAATTAGCAAGAAAAAAAGTCTGTACAGACTTTAAAGTTTGTACTTACTCTGTTGAGTTCAGTCATGCTAGGCTGCCAGTTGCCTTCAACTTGCATGATTTGTTGCAAAAGCTAGTCTCAGTTCCTGTGATTTTTTCCTGTGAGTTTCTTGTCCATAAAACGTGTAAACAGAAAAAAACATGGTCTAGAAACTGGTTAGGAAGACGAGAAGATGGGATCTTGTTTCAGTTTTTCTGAGATATTTGCTGTATGCTGTTTGGGATGTTAAGGTTTGCTTTGCAGGGGCAGCTTAAATCTTGACCAAAAAAAAAAAAGAGTATTACTTGCCTTTGACAGAAATTTCAGAAAACTTCATCATTTTTGCCATTCATCCCAGTCATTAATCATTTCCATGTCAATCTCATGTTGTAGGAATGCTCAAAGTTTTTTTTTAGAATGATTAATTATTGAAGAAAGTCAGGAGGGAGAACTTCAGGGGACAGATGATACTTGTTTTACCTGGCATATGATTTTTCCAACATCTGTGTTTTCCGTGTACCAGCAAAGTGTGTGGTCTTCACCAAGACAGGATACAGAATCTGTACCTGATGTTAAAGGTGCTCTGCTGTATAGTCTTGAGCCATTCAGTTTAAATATGTAATAGTAGTCCCCAAGCAGATACAGTTCTGTGAAATATTAAAATAGCCTGTAACTGTGGCTAGGCGATAATGTACTTTTGGGTTTTCTATATGTGTGTTGAGTAATGTAGACTGGTAGATGAAGCTACTGTAATTAGGGGGTGGAAAAAACCCCAACCAATAAAATTGAACCCCAACCCTTGAAAGCGAGTAATAAAATTTTTAATCTATATTGCTGTTTGGCTTAGTTTCCCACTCTGACTTAGTTTTCTGCTCTATCCTGTCCCCATGAGCAGCACCTACGATGGCCTGGTAAGACAAAGAAAGTTTTGAATTGAAAACCATAAAGGAAGTCAGTGTCAGAAACAGTACCTGTCTCTTTTTTACTGCTGAAAATGCTTTTATCATTGGGTGTTGGTGGTAGTGTCCAAAAGGAGGTCTCTGACTAGAGTTTCGGCTTTGTTTTTTTCAGAAAGTAGCAGATTTACTGCAAAAATATTACAATATTTAGTGTATGTTATGTTAAGTACTTTCAGAATAAACTTGTGTTATTACACGTTCAACTTTTAAAATACCACAAGGTTTTTTGCGTATTGTCTGTACAGTAAAATTTTGGTTTACATTAACAACCTCAGCGTAGTCTTCATTGTTACAACTGCAACTGCTTTTATTTATTGTGGTTTGCTTGCTCAAGGTTGTATTTAATTCTTGTTCTGAGGTCTCCATACCATATCCTCAGCCACAGCATAAGTCAGAAAGAAAACTTGTTAGCAACCATTGCCTTGACAGGACTGCAAAGCTTGTTCTGTATAGGAGTGTAGTTTTTGAAGTGACATCTCTGAGCAATGGATTCAAGTCCCAACAGGGAGTGGTTAACCTTATTTGTCTCCACACGCTTAGTAGCTCAAGTGTGAATCAACTCCTGCATCTGTATCAGCTTGAATCCATAAATACTTCAATTGCTTTTGCTTAAATTGAAGCCTAAGCTAAAGCTTTGTGAACTAGAGCTGGCTGTGTGTGAAGCCAGTTCAGATGCTGCTGTGTACTGCTTTTATCCTGGCTCCAACATTGTGTCTGAGACACGAAGTGCTTCTTCAGGCTGTACAACTGGTCAAAACAGAGAGAGACATTTGAGTAATTCTGCAGGGCTTGGCTCGTGTTGAAATAAATGGTGACAAGCTTGCCCAACCTGGCATGGCCTCCAAATGGCAGGTGCAGCCACTGCAGTGCTTCTGCATCACCCTCTCCGTGTTCAGCCTCTTGCCCATAGTTCCTTCTTAGGCCTGAATCCCAACCTCCTGCTGCGACATGCACTGGAGTGCAAGGCCCATGTCATGGGCAACCTTGTGTGTCCAAACTCAACAAAACACACCCTTATTCAGTGGGCTTGCAAGTTAAGTCATTTTGGAGTGGTAGTCTTGTCAGATTTGAAATAAAGAAAGTGAGGGGTAAAGAACGGAGCCACTTCTAAAGTTCTGAATTTGGAGCTGGGAGTCCAGCTTTAAGGCCTGCTTTAGACTTCATACAAGCTTTTCAGCAGGCGACTGTCATCAGTTTCACTTCTATAAAAGTAAGTAGGAGAGAAGGAAGATTCAGTTAATGTCTTGGATATTTGGATTATGCTGATAACTTGCACATAAGCTGTGCAAAGGAGATTTGAGTGATCCAGTCCTTTTCAGTAAGATTTATATAATAACTTATTTAAGACTTGGATAGTCCATTTCTCTTTTATGAAATCTTAGGCTGTTGATGTTCACTGTCATAGACAAGAATTTCTGGTTCTCCAACAGCTCAATTAAATGTGTATAATATAAAATTAACTTTAAATGTTCTTTGTTCCAGTATTATCTGGTGTACACAGTTCTTGGAAGTAAAATTTTGGCTTAGCAGTGCTTTTGTAGTGGTATTCTGGTGCAACATGTAAATCTCCTTGGACTAATCTTTCAGTGAACAAAATAGGTCTTAAGAATGTTTTGTTAATGCTAGGTTTACCTAAAAATTATTTTCTAATTTCCAAATTAAATAATAGTTCAAAGATTTACTGCTTTGTCGAAATTGCTGAGTATGTTGTAGAAATTTTCCCACGTGGCAAAGATGTGCTGCTGATGCTAAAAATCCAGAAGTGTGGAAGAAGAAATGATAGGATAAAATGAAAACAGCTCTTCAGGTGTTTTATTTATTTTTTTTTTAAGTACCAAAAACCCCACAACTGCCTTTTGCCTGCTAAGGCAAACCGGGGAGTAACTTCAGTCACTTCTCTGAACATCCCATTAAGCTTCTTAAAAGCCTTTAATGTAAAATTGAAATGGGCTTGAAGGATCCCTTCGGAAGGTTTTTTGATATTATGACTAACCTGAGTTTATAAGGCTTTACCTCTTGCCTGATTTAGAATGTGGCTTAAATGGGATGCTTTCATTAGATTATGGACTGAATCTAGGACTATAACTGGCTCCATAAAAGCACAGTAAAAACTATTTAAATGCTGTTTCACTCCAGAAGAGATTTTACTTTCTTTGTTGGCAATACTTACTTACATCTTTGAAGTGTGATTATTGTTAATAATTTTGAAACCGTCTGGAAGTGCCAGTCCATAAAAATTTATATACTTTGTGCTTCTGTGGTTTTTTTGCAAACCAACATCCCCATACTTTCTCAGGTAAAGTGCCTGCTAAGATGTCTAAGTACAGGGTACACAATATATCATATTGTTCTTGTACAATCTAACCCTGTTTTGTGAACTAAAATAAAACACTGTTATATCAAGCAGATATTATACTCATCACTGCATTTCCAGACTTTTGATAGGAAAATGAACAAGTGGGAAGCGCTGTCACAAACAGTAAGTTTGTCACAGATCATAGACCACCTGTGTTTAACCCCAGGTTGGTAATTCTGTGTAGTCAAATGGGAAGGACCAAAATTGTGTTAGCACATAATTAAGGATGGGGAGGCACGGTTGTGCAGTCATGGTATAATGCATGAGCATTGGATAATACACCTTACAGTTAAAGGTTTATGTAATTTAGGTGACTGCTGACTTACAACTTAATGCATTTGAGTGTGTTAATTTTCACTGTACACACAGGAGCTAAGCTTACAAAGCAAAACTTCCTGTACTTCCACTTAAGGTTAAATATGCTACACCTAGGAAACAAAAATGTGATGTGGTTTTCTTGCAGGAATGAAGGCATTAACTATGACATTAAAGGGGAGGGATTCTTGTGCATTTAACTGAGTAACTGCAAAATGAAAGCTAATCTTGCCAGAATTGCCCAGGGAATAGCTTCTCATAAAGGTCTTTTTTTCATTAGCAATTACAGTTTTAAGCTCCTGTTTTAGCTTTGTACCTCTCAAAAAAAGCTACCAAGTTTTTTATTAAATTATCAGTTTTATTTTAATTTAATGAGTCTTGTTGTTATAGAGGGGGAGAAATGCTTGGAGGCAGGCAGCAGGGCTTTGTAGATCATTAATTTTCTGAAGTCTATAAGCAGCTGATGACAGAAGCAAAATGTGTCAGCTTGGCTTGCACAAAGCAGTTATTCTACTTGTTTACAGCTGTGCATGTCACTGTGAGGTCTCAGTTCTGTATAAAGGGCATTTGTTTCTCTGGATGTTGATTTAGCATAGTATCTTTCCACTTGACACTGGATGTGAAATGAGCATCTTGTCTATATTTAAAAATGTTTCTCACGTTAATTGGTTGTAGTGATTAAAAATAAAAGGCTGTTTATTGTGATTTTGTGACTTAATAATTTAGAAAATAAATGCTACAATAACAAAAGCTTATGTGTTTAAATTGGTAATACAAATAATGAAAGATTGGGTAATATATATTGTTTTGTGTCTTTTTTTCTTCTGTTTAGGTTAAAAACTTTGCTGTTATTTATCTTGTGGATATCACTGAAGTACCAGACTTCAACAAGATGTACGAGTTGTACGATCCCTGTACTGTCATGTTTTTCTTCAGGTACATGATGGTTCTAGAATGTAACTCATTTAAATTTTTTGTTTGTCAAATACAGTGTCTCAGTAAATAATTTCTAAATGCATATTAGCATACTGATGCTTATATTTTCATTGCTCTACAAAAGAGTAAACTGAAAATAGATTGTTTTTCAATTAGCTTAGTAACAGTGTTTGATAAGAGTGCAAATTAGTGATAAGTGATTAGTGAAAGCTGGCTTTATTATCCATTGTTTTTAGTTTTAAATCTCAAACAGAGCATGTACAGAATACTGTAGTAGTACAGCAGTCAAGCTTGTCAAACTTGCTTTAAAGATAAATCCAAAGGCATAAAGGTTTTTTTGAGCTAAGGCATCTACACTGAAACGTCCTGCTGACAAGCACAGAAGTCTCTCTGGAGATAGATAGTAGTGGGAAAGAAATACAAACAATGAGGAATATGTTTAAGGATAATTGTACTGAGTAGCCATTCTTGCTTTAGAAATTGGCAGTAAAATGTAAGCTTGACTGACAGGAGTGGATATTCTTTCCTGGATGCTTATTTTGAAAGCCTGTTTATGTTATAAAAGCTTCTTTTGAATCCTGCAAAACATTTTAGGGGGCATATAAAGTGTACGTCTGAAATATAATGCCATATTAACTTTGAGGTTTTTTTCTTTCTCTTTAAAGGAACAAACACATCATGATTGATTTAGGTACAGGTAATAACAACAAGATCAACTGGGCAATGGAAGATAAGCAAGAGATGATTGACATTATAGAAACTGTTTACAGAGGAGCCCGCAAAGGTCGAGGTTTGGTGGTATCGCCAAAAGATTATTCCACTAAATACAGATACTGACATTTCTTTGGGCTGCCTTTTCTCTCAGTTCTACATCCACTTAAATTTATTATTGTGTATGTGTGTACATATATGTATATTAAAAGAAAAAAAACCTTAAAAATCCTTGAACTTTGAGCATAATTTGAATTATTTAAAAGGTTTAAATTCTGTTTGAAAAGTAGAAGACTCAAAGCCCGTAACTGTCTTGACTGCAGTAATATTGTAGCTGAATATTTGAGGGTTTATTTTTTAAAGACTTTACTCTTTGTTGTCCTTTTGGTATTATGTATTTTGTACACAGAAAGCCTGTTTGGGGAAAAACATTTTGAGTGTTTTTGTCTGCTTTTGTTACACAAATGTCCAGGAAAACGACAGCTTTTTTAAAAGAATAAAGTGAGAGTTCCACATATTCACTTTTAATTTTTTTTCAGCTAATTAAATTTTTGAATGAAAACAGATGTAATCGGATGCAAATCCATAATGTTGGAAGATGAAGGCTTATCACTTTTCTCAGGATTTCCTTGCGTAGCATATTAGCCTTATGTATCCACTAAAAATGGGAATAAAACTCTAATGTGCATTGATTAACATTTAGCAAAAATCAGGTAATTATTATTTGATGAAAATCAGAGAAAACATCTTCCATGACTTTGCACATCACCGCCCACCCATCAGCTTAACTGACTTGTGGTGACGACTCCTTTTACGCGGTGGTTGTGCACACAGGAGGCAGTTTAAAGTACTCAGCAGATTCTGCAGAGCCAAAGCATAACTGCAGTTCTGGAGCTGGCTGCACAGCCAGCAGTTGAAGAAACCACAAGCCATGCTTTCTGTCACTCGATCTCCAGTTTGTCTGGTGGTATACTAAAATGCATATATACTCAGGAGATTTGGACTGGATTCCATTGTGGCATGACTCTGGAGATTTCTGTTTGCTTTTCTGACAACTTCTGGAGCTGGTGTTCTGTGGGTGTTTTTTTGTTTTTTAAAATGATACAGGCATACAGAGGATTAATTAAAAACCAAACCAGCCTATGCAGAAATGAGATACCTGTACTTTTTGGTCCAGTTTGTCATAAGACAAAGCAGAATATGCTTTTTTACCGTCAAGTGTATTTTAGAGGATTTAGAATGAGGCACAGAAGTAAAACACAAGGGTCCCAATTCCTGCAGGAGTTAATCTGGTTTACAGTTGTGGTGGGTTGCCCTTGGCTCGTGCCCACTGAGCCACTCTATCGCTCTCCTTCTCAGCTGGACCGGGGGAGAGAAAACAAGATGGAAAACAACTCGTAAGTTGAGATAAGGCAGTTTAGTAAAGCAAAAGCGAAAGTTTGTGTGCACACGAGCCAAGAGGGAAAAAAAATGTATTCTCTACTTCACACTAGCAAGAATTCAGCCACTTTTTGGGAAGCAGGGCTTCAGCATGCAGAGGAAGGTGAACTCTGTAAAATAATGAATGCCCCCCCTACTTCTTTTCCTTAGCCTTTATATCTGAGCTGATGTCATATGGTCTGGAATATCCCTTTGGTTAGTGTGGGTCAGCTGGCCTACTTGTGTCCCCTCCCAGTATCTTGCCATCGATTGGGGAAGGAATGCTACAGTGCTGATGCTGTAACACCCACTGGTGTGTTACCAATACCTTTCTAGCTACCAATGCAAAGCACAGCACTGTGAGGGCTGCTGTGGGGAAATGAACTCTATCTCAGGTAGACCCAGTACAACAGTGGAAATTCTGCAATCATTTATGTTGGAAGGGACCACTAAACTCAAGTCATAGTAGGTCCCACTTGGTCAGGTTGCCCTGGACTGTGTCCAGTGTTAAGTATTTTGTTTGGACTAGATGGTCTTGAAGGTCTCTTCCAGCCCTGATGATTCTGTGGTTTTTTGGGGATGGAGATTCTTCAGCCTTTCTGGAAGGCCTATTCTGCTGCCAGTGCACCTTCCTAACAGAAAAAGGTTCCTTGTATCTAGCTGGAATTTTCTGTGTTTCAGCTTGTCTCAAATAACTCTGGTGTAAAATACCTCCAAGAGTCCTCTAAGTTTTCCCCATGCTCTAATAGGGGGTAGTTGTTGGCAGCAGGAAACCATAGGTTTTTCTAAAGGCTCAGCTAACAGAATTCCAGAATTCTCTCACACCCCTGTATGCTTTGTACTCCACCACATCTTAATGGCTTTCTTTTATAGCTCCCTCACAATACATTTCTTGACCTGGTGAGCCCCCAAATTGACACAATATTCTAGGTGTGGTCTCACAGCAGCTGAATGAGGGGAAGGACCTGCTGGCTCTGCTTGTGCTAATGCTGACCAGCAAGTGGCTGCAGCCTTTGCTGCCAGGGCACCCCGCTGACTCAGTCACCCTTCCCCTAGACCCCACTCCTTTCCTGCAAAGCAATGTGCCAGCCAGCCCCTCACAACTGCTGTGTCCCAGAGCCCAGCTTGGCCCTTGCCTTTGAACTTCATGAGGTTCCTAATGGCTCATTTCTCCAGCCTGTCCTTCAGCACAACAGCTTTTCCCCACAGCGTGACAGTGCTTGCAAGTCTAAAGAACTGATTGGAATGATTTCTTGATTTTAATGAAGACTCTAATATGTGCATTTAATTCCTCATTACGTATTCACCTGGCAATGCTTCAGTTTCTGCATTTATGGTAAAAGGTTCCCATTACATTTCAAGCTAAATCTTTCCTGCAGGGTGCCAATGTTTTGGTGTACAACAACCTTAAAGTTAGCGCAGATGTCCTATTTTCTCTGACACTATCACATCTTGTTCAGGAATTATCCAGGAACAACTAGAATTCCTCATTACCTCAAAATCTATAAAATAAACTCATTAAAACAGCTAACATTTTAAAACACTGAAATTGGCACAATCTGCATACCTGGGTGATGTCATCTGCACTGGTGTATGGCTTTGGGTGGGCTTGTGAAAAGAGTAACAGCTGAGCATCTGTACTCTGTGCATATACTGCAATTTCTTTTAGTGCAGAATGGTTTATATTCATTTGACCTCTGAAGTTTTGCAAAGGCACCTTTGTAGTAACGTCAAATAAGGTGCATTTTGTGATGTAAAACATTTAAAGAAGCAAGAAGATGGCACGTGCAAATAAAAATTTTTGTCTTAGAAGGATCTTGTTATTCTGAGAACATTAAAGGTAAAAAGGCAACAAAGAAATCTTATTATTTTAATATTATTAAAATAAATGAAATACATTTTCATAGATTGAAAAAATTTGTTTGGATTAAGTTCACTATATAGGATTTAGTTCTCTATCCAAAATAGTGGGTTTGCCTTCTCTGAAACTAACAGTTCTTCAGCTCCAGGAAATACAGTGCCACATTTAGAGAAGTAAACACATCATTCTACTTTTTTTCCTGGGGAAATAGTTTAAAAAAAAAATGTTGAGATTCTATCATTACATGATGCAAACATGACTGTTTTCCCTTGACATTTTTTGTCAATGTGACACTGACTGTAAACTCCTGGAGTCAATGCAGTGCTGTTCTGCCTTTGTGTTTCTTGAACACATCCTCCTTTCAATGCTGCAAAGAAACGGTAAGTAGGTTATTTAATTATTCATGAATGTGATTCAGCTTGAAAATATGGAGATCTCTGTACAGTTAAATACAACTTCGTAGATTGTCTTTCTGTGTTTCTGAAAATTATTTCATAGCTTATCACGAAAAAGGCATCACAATGAGTAGAGGCCAAAATTACTTCAGAATATTTTCAGACATTTCTGTCTTTCACTGGGTAAGCAGTCTCAATGACAAGAATAATTGATGTGTCTCAAGTTGAATCAGGAAAGTGCAACAACAGGAAGACAACATCACCTGCATCCACAGAACACGGAAGCAAGGCTGTCTCATAAATACTAAGAGTGCATGTAAGAGGTGTGCTCTGAGCCACGCTGGGAAGCTGAGGCAGGTTTAAAAGCAGATGTACATAAATTTGTACCAGTGAGAATCCTCGGTCAGCTAGGTTAGCATACCTGAGAGACAGGAATGGTGGGCACACGCATTTCATTACAAATGTACAGCCTCGATTTACATCCTTGGGATTAGTTTGCACTACCCCCCTCTACATGGCACTCAGCTGAAACAGACACAGCAAGATGCAGTTCCTCTTTTGTAAAACTAGTAGCATTCTTTGGCTCTTGGCAAAAAGAAATCCAAGATCATTTTAAATATGTTTTTAAAAAGTACACTTTCAAATTTACGTAAATGCAGGTATCATAAATATATAAACATTATTTTCATGCTAATTCTTGGTCATCATTCAATACTATGTGGAAATAAATAAAATACAGAAAAACTTAATTAAGTTTCTTTACTCTCAAGTCTTCGTCAGTGTTCTCTTCTATCCCAGCCTCTGTCATCAGGTCAGCAACACGATTCTCAAGGTCATTGATGCGCTCGCCCATTTCTTCCAGTAAAAAGTTAAAGATAACTTATTTATAATTTTACAGGTTTTGGGTTTTTTTGGTAAGAAAAACAAGCACCTTTTTTTCAGATGTCTCAGCATCTTATCCACGTTTAATGCTCAATGGGGTATGCCCAAGGTTATATTTTTACAAGACAATCCCACTTTCTTGCATCAGGTAAGCACTGAAGTTTTTAATACCAAAAGCCTTTGTGTATATTCAGGAGTGAACTGGAGTATTTTCTGCCTAAAAGACTGTTTTCTTTCTGAGGAACTTTTAGGTGATAACATACCATTAACCTACACAATCAGAATACAAGTGCTGCTAAAACATTACTCTTCTCTTACACTACAGCAGCCGCTTCCTGAAATGTAGAGTTTCAGAAAAAATGTAATTAATGGGCAGTTTCAGAAAGCAGAGGTAGTTTCTCTAAGTGTATCAACTGAGAAAGCTCAGAGCCCCTTCAGGTCTTAGTTTCTCTTTTTGAGGGCTCACCTTGCCCCGCTCAGGCGGCCAGCAGCTTGTTTTCAAACCAACACCACCTGGCTGATTTGAGTTGCATTTTTGAAGATTTTTTTTTTTTTAATGTACCTTCAGAATCTTTACACATAATTTGAAGCTTATTTGAAAGAACTGCCGAACAGAAACTAACTTAGCGACTTGTAGTAAAACCTTTCTGGGGATTCCTTTCTTTAGAAAAGGGATAAAAGGGATAAATAAATGGGCTTGGGGGGGGGGGCAATTCCGCTGATTTTACACCATAGGTGTTTAGCAACGTCAATAATTACACGTTAATTTGATGTTTAGGAAAGAAGGCCATCCCGGTGTTGAAAGCAAAGCTCCCCCCATCAGGGACCCCAGCCGCAGGAGCCGCAGTCCTTCCGGCGGTGCAGGTTACCCCGCGTTCCAAAGAGGATATTTCTCAGCGTTAACTTTTCCGTCAGAGCCTGAAAATTGATCCTGCAGCCGACACAGCAGATTTTCCGCCTGCAGAGCGGGAGGGGGGTGTATGGAAATAAAGACAGTGAAGGCAGAAGGGCGGGGGCCGGTGGGCTGCCCGCCCCTCCCGCCCGGCCGAACGAGCAGACCCACGGCTGGGCCGCGACCCCCAGCCCGGCCAGCCCCAGCTCGGCCCCGCTCCCCCCAGAGCCGGCCCCGCTCACCAGCTGCGGCAGGTCCCCGGCTCCCGGTGGGTCGGCGGCCTCTGCCGCCATCGCCTCCGGCCACGGCTCCGAGCCGCGACCCTCGGCCCGCCTCCCCGGTCGCGGCGGCGGGACAGGGCGAGGCGGGGCGGGCAGCGAGCGCTCGGCCCCGCCCGGCGCCGCCTCAGCGGGGAGGCGGGCGGGGGAAGCCCCGCGGCCCTCCCGAGGGGGAGCGGGGGAATCCTTAGATAACCATTCCTGTATTTGCCGAAGAGACCGGAATTCCACACGTCAGTAACCGAGTAAGGATGGCGAGGTTTGATCTACAGAGGCCTTACAATTTCATAGGTCTGGTGGGTTTTTTGTTTTTAATAAGGTTTGTCTCCTTTTCCCTGTGTAACTAGTCTTGTAATACGGAGTAAAATACGGTAAAAATACCGTGGTGGTTGAAGTTCTTTGAGGTTCCTCCAGTGTGGAGCGAGACAACACCGAAGGCATCGGCGAGAATCACCTCTTACAGCATGTAGGTCACCCCTGCACTTTCGGGCTGCGCGGCATAAGAATCTCCTGGTGCATCTGTTGCAGAGGTGTGTTGTTTATGCAGATGACCTGAGTGCTGGAACTGTTGCCTGATGTAAATGAAGAGGTTTTCCATTTACTGTGCCTGTGTGGTTAGGAGCATATCACTGTTGGGCAATAGATTTCCTTAGTCGATTACTTTATAGATATGCCAAACGTGCCTTCATCCACAGAAATCTTCTGAGTTAGAAGTGACCTCACTTGCTGGAAAGATTATCTCTTGTAAGCCTACCACTTAGAATCTTTCTTAATAAACTTAATTGTCTTCCTTCTTGAACTTCCCCACCTCATTTGAGAGGGTGTGTTAAATCTCTGAGGTGAAATTCTGGCATCAAAGCCAACCTCTGCATTGCTGTGTGCTTCCCATAATTGTGGCTTCTCCTCTCTACATCCTTACCTCCCCACTCTTGCAGGTTCTCCTCTTTGCCTTTCTTGTAGAAAGAAAAATCAAGCAAGTTTTGCAGAGCTTGAGTGCTCTAGCAGCATTACTGCTCTAGAAAGCCTCTAGATAAAATAATTTGAACAATATTATGCATATAGATAAGCTTTGCTTTTGCACGTAGCCATTAGCTGCAACCACATAGCTTTTTTGTTCTGTTGCATAAGTAATAAACAGTTGTTGCTTCTTACCTGTTTATTTGTTGCTAATAAATCTTCTTTCCCTAAGGGCTAGATAGTAGCTGTACTATTTTTTCATTTCTACTTCTGATAACAGCCATAGTCTTCCTGGTTTTCCCTCCTTCCAGAACAGCTACGAAAGCTTCCCTCTTAGGCAGCAGTATGTTCCCCCAGAGGCAGTCGAAGTGGCTCTGTCTGCTTATGTTTAGTTATCTTGAACAAAACCTTAGAGTCCCATCTGCAGTGAAGAGCTTGCAGGGATAAAGAGCCAGCTGGAAATGCAAAGGAGCAAGCATTACACATCCAACCAATTTGCAGAAATTCCACTAAATCCTTGTAGAGCCACATTTTAGCAATGGCCAGGTTATAGTTCAATTGAAAACAAGCATGATTTTATAAAGGCTTTCTGTGACTAGCTCCTTGTTTTTGTGAGGCAGGTCCGTGGGGTCAGAACAAAATTATAGTATCCAGGTGGCATAGCAGTGGAGAACAGGCAATTAAAAGTGTTAAAGAGACTGAAGAAAATATTTCAACATGCGTTTCCTTCTGCAGAGCTCTGGTTCTTTTATTTCATGGGCTCGGTGGCTGATTTGAATATCCCTCCTACTTCAGATTTTGAGCTGAATTAGACCAATAGTGCACAGCTGGGTTTATGAAATAAAATTGGAAGTGTCTGTAAAGCTAAAAATGGCTGTGGAAAAGTTCTGAAGTTCAGAAAGCCTAAGAATAGAGGAGACAAATGGCAGGGCCAAACAGAGTGCTTAACAATTAATTTACTTACAACAGAACTAGTGTGCTTGGTTTTGCTCTGCTGTACTCTAGCCTCTTCCTCCTCAGAGGGCTCAGTAGTTCAGAGCTGGGCTGCTGCATACATTTCTGAAATCTGGAAATGTAAGATGAGCCATATTTTAAAAACAGTAATCTGTGTTAGACATGCACCCACGAACTAAGGGAAGCTGAGCAAAAACTTTTTTGTTTTGTTTCAAAAGCAAAGGGCTAGCTGAGAACCAGTCAGAAAGCAGCACTACCATTGCTCATAAGAGTATGTACTGCAATAAGTAAAGAATACCTAATTTACTAAAAGGATAACAAGAAGTTCATTTTGCCAATGAATGCAAAAGCAGGTATTGAGGGGGTTTGAGGAAGGAGCAAAACAGATTTGACAACAGAAATTCTTTTTCCATGCCAAAATATGCTCTGTACTACTTTCTTTCAGTAAAAACCTTAGACTTTAGTCACTTTCAGTTTAAATATGTCTTCTTGGTATGAAGCACATGAAGTAAAAATAAAAAATAGGGTGACCTAGAGGCTGGGGTGCCATCTGCTTCCATCCTATTTCAGAATTGCAGGCCTGTGCTGTGAACTCTTTCCAGTGTGTACTGAAATGGTATCCAAAGTATGTTTCTCTTGCTCTTTCCTAGGGAAATTCCAGTCCCTCCACTGGTGGAACGAGAAGTTAGGGTAGCAGGACAGGAAATAAAGGCATATTTAAACATTTATAGTCCTAAGCTCCAAGTTCAATGCCACTTACTAGATGATGCCAGCTGTAAAAGCCTGTGGTGTGGAGCGATAAAAGAATTGTTTTGTAGAAGTGCATTACTCTTGTTGTTTGGAAGTTACATAAAATCCCTCCCCTTCCTCTTTGCTGACAAATTAGGTTTTATACACCGGGGTTGGGTATCCTCTGGTCACATAACTCCAACCATGTCTGGCTCGGGGTTGCTTTGAAACAGAGGTGAGGATAGAGAAAGGATGCCTCAAAGAGAAGCCTAATATTACATGTGTGTTACGAAAGAAAACAAGAAATTTAGTCCTGGAAGGAGACAAGAAGGGAAGTGTTTCTGAACCATGATGGCAGCTTATTTGGCTGTAAATCAGAAGGCAGGATGCAAATTGCACTGCAAATTTTTGTCCTTTTTTTTTTTTTTGATTCCTGGCAGAGGCCTGGCCAGTTGTAAAAGTTTCCTCTGCAGAGAAAAGTACAAGCTAGTTCTTGCACCACAGTCATGGTGTTTCTGCTAACAAATTGTAGGGCTGGGTCTTTGAGTCATCACTTTCAGGTAGCTTCTCTTGTGTCACTTCACAGTTGTGATTCAGAGAGACACAGTGTGCAACAAAAAACGTCTGGCTTTGCTAGGTCATCAGCTTTTATATTCTGAAATCCTAAATGGTGCTGATGGTTCTTGCAGCAAACTACTAACATTTATCTGATCTCTTGATTCAGTAGGATGCACTTCACTGGGAGCTTGTTCCACTGGAATACTTCCTGGTGAAGACATAACTTTTCTTTCATATGGTAACATCAGTAGAAGTAACAAGTTGTTGTTATTTAAAAGCGTGGAAAGATGTGGTGAGTGAAGTGCAAATGCCTCAGGCAGAGAAAAAGGCATTCGAGTCAGTAGTGTCAGACAGCTCTGGTGCTCCTCTGAAAGACAAGTAATTTGGGGTGAATATTAAAAGCTTGGATGTTTGCTCGGGGTTCAGATTTCAGGTTCTGTATCATTGAAGAGAAAAGGGCAATCCCAGCAGTTGAGAAACCTGATCCCTGATGAAGGTGTTCTGCTTTTAACAGAAGTGTTCAGTTTTTGGACTGCAGCTCACAAATCCTCTCACAGAGAAATTTTTCTGCAGGCTTCTCCCGAAAGAAAACTGTCAAGGTTAAGGATAATCTTTGTCAGAAGTTCAGTGTGTACTATGGGCATCATGTAGCTGTAACAGAAAACAGGGTATAGTTTTCCCTATTAAGTGAGGAGAAGGGAGGGGATAAATGTAGGAGCAGCAGAAAGGTGACTGCAGAGGCTGGTTTTGTGTAATTCTTGACTGTGTGAAATCCTGTGCCTAGCTGCTGCTGCTGTTGTTGACAGAATTATTACATGGTGATCCAGAAATCTCTAGTTATGTTTCCCAGACATGGCTGATAAGAGATGACGCTTCTAATGCTGCTTTCTGCTCTAGCCTTGCTCCATTGTCTTTGGACAGTGAGGGTGGAGGAGCATTCACTGAGCAGTTCACCTCCTGAAAGGCTGCAGGAGGGAGCTGGGGGTGTTTGTCCCTGGTGGAAAAGGGAGTGGGGGTCTGTTTCTCTGTCCTGGTGGCCCACTGCTGGCATTCTGGATGCTGCATGTGGAGCCTGTGTTCAAATCACCATGCGGCCTTGCTCCTTACATGGGAGCTTTCTCGAAGAAAATACAGTGTGTAACAGGCAAGTCTCTGCTGTGAGGGCAAAACGAGGCAGCCTCTGCAACACAAGGACAGTGAGCAGTCTGACCTCAGGTGTTCAGATCCCACAGCCTGGTGTGGCTCTCTTCCAGGTGCAGAATGAGTGCTTGTACACGGAGATTAAACGTGGCACGTGGTGGGGTATGTGATGGAAAGAGTATTTTTCAAAAATATTTTGTAAAAAGAGCCTGTGTTGAAGAGGCTGGAAGCTGGGCAAAGGAGGGAATGGTTCATTTGAAGATGCACATTTTGCTTTTCCAGAAACTGTAAAGTACCATGGGTGAAGTTTCCTGTAAGCAAACTGCAGCTATGGTCATATTTCCTTACAGCTTCAGAGATAATTTTTCCCAGAGAAGATAACTGGTACAGGCAGTTTAAATTCACCTCAAATTGTTGGAAAGGACTTCATATGGTTGCATAAAACATGGGTGGATTTGGAAGAATATGGAGAATAACACTGGGGAATATCAAGTGTAGGACACGTGCTCTAACAGTAAGGTTTGGGTAATTAAAGAACCAAAGGGTGTAGAAATCTGATTATTTCGCTTTTTGTTGTTGTTGTTGTTGGGAGAAAAACTTCCCCTTTCTCATCTAAAACAATGAACCATTGCAAATATGCTCTTAGGATTGAAACCTTGACTGGCAGTGGCTTGCCTGCTTCTTCTGCGAGACATTT